TGGGTTGGGATGTTTTCTTGATGCGCACTTAACCTTTATATAAAACTCTTATACATGAGTTTCTGTGGATTTGTTTCCCTAAAGTACCCTGAATAGCACACTTGTTCTTTCATACTTATGTAGCTGGTTTACACAATACAATGCATTGTTCAATCTCATGACTATAGCTTCCATAAACATTGATTTTTGGATCCAAGCAAGCTAAAATCTTTGACAATTTCAATCTTTTCTCTGGTAATCATGATGTTACCTACTCTGTTAGTCTGGGTTGACTAGAGAAATAAATTCATAGATACTCATATGTGTATAAGAAAGAGCTTTATATAAAAGCAATTGTATATTGAGAAAACATCCCAGCCCAGTCCAGATAAAGTCCTTAAGTCCAATATTAGCCCATATGTCTGATAACAGTCTGTAAATTCCTCTTCAGACTCACCAACACATGCAATGACACCAAATGCAGGAAGATCACAGGCCAGTGGGTGAAAGGTCTTGTGGATCCAGTGGTGGTGGAAGCATCTCAGTGCTGGCCTGGGTCTCCACATGGCTCCTCAAGCTCTAGGGCTCTGGCTCTATCAGTGTAGCTCCATGTGGCTTGTCAACAGGAATGTGTCACAGGGAGACAAAACAGAGAGAGGATGTATGTCCTGCCTCCAGGGAGGAAGACGGAAGTTCCCAGAATCCTCAGGAGAAGGCCATGCCCATATAGAGGCTTATTTGGCTATGACCTGACTGACAGGCTAGACTCCACCCCTTCACAAGTTGTCAGGAGATTATGTAACTGCTACACCTACTGATCCAGTTGCGAGGATTTTGGTCTTCTTTACACTGAGTTGTAATCTGCACTAAAGGTTGCATCCCTGCTCTTCATCAGCAAGTGCTTCAAGCTCTGTTTTAGCAAGCCGGGCTATGTCTTCTACAAAGCACAGGTTGATAGTAAGCCGTCTGCCAATCCTGGTGCCTCTCAGAAGTAGACATGCCTTTTGTATCTCTTGTTAGCCACTGAGGAGGTGTCTTATAGAAGGTATCTATAACAAAAAAGATAGGACAAGAAGGTGGTTTTAACAAGCAAATCTTTTTCTCACAGTTTAGGAGGCTAGAAATCTTGAGTTCAGGGCACCAGTGCTAGGGGAAAGCTTCTGTCTCTGTTGGCTCTAAGGACAGTTTCTTGTCTCGTCAGCTTCTGTTTCTTGGCTCCTGGGATAACTCCATGTGCTATAGGTTTTATTTCCCCAAACGTTGCTTCTGTTCTAATCTGTTCTTTGCATTTAGGGTTTTAAATTGTCTCTTACCATAACAAAGAAACCTCACTCCTAAATGGGATTAAAACCATAATTATAGGGATAGGATTTCTGAAACATATTTTGGGGACACAATTCAATCCACAACAGAAAGTATGACATAGTAGGAAGGAGCCTTATGATCTCAGCCTTGAAATTAATGGGTCTCGCCTTTCTTAGAAAAGAGGGATTGGTGCTAGTAATTGAGCCCTTTGACTTAGGGGTCCAGTCTACTGCCTCCCCAGATAAACTTCAAATTCAAAATAACACACATAGACAACACACACATACAGACACGCTCAATACACACACAACACACATATCTTTGTCATTCAGTCAATTTTGACTCATACTAATTTAGGTAGTTAGTTTATTGTGCCAACCTGGCCAATAAACGCACGTGGAGTTAATTGAAGGGTGGAGAGAAAAATGGCTCGGTGAGCCTCGCCTTTTGAGTTCTCGGGTCTCTTGCTTTGTGATGGTTGGACCAGGGTGCAGCTGCCTTAGCCAGTTCCCTGCTTCAGCTGGCAAGGTTCACTTCCTGCAAGACATCCCCAAGGAGAAGCCACATGGACCTACTCCGATGCAGCCCTGAGTACAGGAGCAGCTGTGTGGAGACCCCTGCCAGCGCTGAGATGCTTACATGTTCACTGATTCGGCTTTCCTCCTGCAATTGGCATCATAATGTGTGTTTTGTGAGATGGAGGAGGACTTTGGATTGGTGTCGGACATATGGGTTAATGTTGGACTTGTGGGCTTGAGCAGCACTAGGTTGGGATGTTTTCTTGATGTGCGCTTACCATTTATATAAAACTCTATCTTATACACGAGTTACTGTGGATTTGTTTCTCTAAAGTACCCAGACTCACACACTAACCCTATAGGACAGAGTCAAACTGTCCTACATGGTTTCCATCTGCTCTGTGAATCTTTGTAGAAGCAGATTGCCACATCTTTCCCTACAGAGTGGCTGGTGGGCTTTAACCACCTCCACTGTCTGTTGGTTTAGGATTGTATGTTGCTGTGATTGCTGAACCGTTATCCACCGAACTTTTAGACTAAGCGTGACTAGGAAGAAAAGGCTGGTAGTCTACTCCTGAAAATCAGCCAGTGCAAACTCTATAAATCATAATGGTTTCAGCCACAACCACGCATGGGAATGGTGCAAGACTAGGCAGTCTTCCATCCCATTGTGCATGGTGTCACTCTAAGGGCCCTGCCTGATGACAGCTAACAAGTATTCTGACCTTGGTCTGGTCAGAGGCATGGGGCTCTAAAACTTGATACTTTCACTTGAATGATTCCAAGCTCTCCAGTGGCTTCCCATTACACTTAGAATGAACCCATAAGGCCCTGTACGACCAAGCTCACCTCCTACAGTTATGTCTTGTTCCTTCGCTTTGCAATCAGGTCTCTGCTTAAATACCCTTCATCAAAGAGGCCTTTCCTGACGATCCTATCCAGTATGGTTTCGTGTTATTTTTTATCCTCCTAATATTTCTCTTAATCAAGTTCCTACTGACTTTATAATATACATGTATTTACTTATGTATTCTCTCCCCACCATTAGAAAAGCTCCTCCATGGAGGCTGGGGTTTGTTGTAACCCACCACTCTACTTCCAATAATTAGAAGAGCATCTAGTGCTTAGTAGGCTCTTCATGAGTATTTGTGGCGAGGGTAACCATGTGATTCCCCACACCCACTCCTCCGTTAGACTGTAGTTTGCCAAGTTCCATGGGTGACTTTTGTTGCTGATCACCAGTATTCTTTCAGGGGTTCCTGTGTGATACCAATAGTTACACACTCAACTGGTAGCCGAGAGATTGGGGTACAAACCCGTTCGGTGCCTGGGAAGACAGGTGATCTGCTTCCGAAAGATCTTACCCAGCGCACACCGGTGTTACTGTGAGGGAGAACAGATCTGACATCAATGAACGACGGTAACAAGTATGTGCTCTTCTCGGCTGGCCTTGGTCTTATGCCCTTGTGTTGACAAAAACTGCTGGACACAAGAGAGGCTCTTGACTATTCCAGGGAGTCTTTTGACTGAAGATGAAAGCAAAATGAGCTGAGCCCTGTGTAGTGAGGACCCAGGTGACTGGGTCACAGACAGAGCGACACTTACTTCTCCCGTCTCCGTTCTAATCGGTGCTAATGCTATGCTGTGCTCTTTTCCTAAGAGCGGTGCTGGCTGCTTCGTTCTTTCTTCCCTCCCTCCAGGCCAATGTGTTTCAAAGGGACATTTTAGCAGGACCTTCAAAAGGTCTAGGTTTTCTCTGGTGCAGTTAGACTGTCCAATCCAATTCATCTAAGAGCAAATTGAACTCCGTTTTCTGTTTTGGGTTTCAGGCTTGGAAGAATAGAGCATTTTTTCTGTTAGCAGCTCAATTATATTTGAGTATTATTCACATAATTATCTCTTGATCAACAGGTCCTTCAACTGGAGATGCCACCCTGAGGTAAGAAGGATCCTATCATAGTACCTGTTGAATTCCGCCAAGAATACGGGATGACTTACCCCACAAGACTGCAGCGTTCACTCTATTGTTCTCTCACTTGCCGGGCTCCTTCAATTTCCTTTTGCCATTTCAACCTTATTCTCTATGATTAATGCTTCCTCTTTCTTTTTTTGGTGTGAGTATAACACTTGGGTTTATTGAGAAGCTGGATTACAAACACTCTCAAGTAGAGTATTATATTTTGTTAGCTTTCCCCACCTTTCCTAACACAGACTAACCTGTGAGGCTTGACGGTTTGATACCAGATCACCACAATAAAAGAAATAGCACGATAAAGTGGATAACACATTTTCTGGTGATTGACGCTTCCTTTATCTTTTCTGTTATGCCTTTTGATTTCCATTTACATCTATTCTCTGCCAGCTTGCTTCAATGGAATTGTCCTATGACTGGTCTTCTCTCTTTAAAGCACACGTTCCATAGTCATGAATGAAATGTCTAAGGAACTCATCTGTTACTATTATCTATTCCTTTTCCTGACGTTATTATTAACAAGGAGGCTATTGCTGAAGAATAGACATACTGTCTCGTGGTGAGTGGAAGGATTGGCCTATGTCAGAAGTAAAGGTGATGGTTTAGGGACAAGTAGGAACCATTTGTGTGCAATTAGTTTCTGCCTCAACCCTACCACAAAGAGGATTCCTCAGCAGGATCCCCAAGCCACAGATTTGAAACATGGAGAGTGTTCAATCTAAAAATGTCATCAAGAACAATGAGTCTCTTTCTTGTCAGGGATTACTAAACGGGATTCTAAGTCACTCGCTTCTGAGATGTGACAGTAGATTTTTTGTTGATAATCTGGGGTTTCAATACCTGAGAAAATCTGGTTAGAGTTCATTGGGAAGTAATAAAGATTAAGAATTTGTGATTATTTAAAAAAAAAAAAGAATTTGTGATTATTTATTTATTAGGACTGATGTTCTTTTAAAGAATTACCTAGATGGGATCAAAATGGCCATAGCAATTTGTAAGTTTCAACAGGAAGCTAGAGGACAGTGAGTTTATGCTGATGGTGGAGGAACAATTTGAAAAAGGAGGATGAGAATGGTTTATAATTAGAACCACGTAGTCAATATCACTGAATTGTACCTCTAGACATTATTGAATCAAGATATTTCTACTGTGTATATTTTCAATAAAAGTTAATAATCTTTTTAAGAAAAATAATTAGGGCATGGTCCTTCTAAATGTGCAGTATAAAAATTAGAATGGAATGAGAACCCTTGAAAAAAGACATGGAGACACAATAATAACACACTTCTAGACTAAAAGCAATGGTGTATATAAAGAGGTGACCAAAATGACTTGGGAATAAATCTTTTCATTACGTTTGTGAGAGAAACTCTGATAATTCAGATGGACCTCTCCAGGTAGCTTTGAGACATAGAATAGAAACAAAAAGTAACAGAGCCCACATGGAAGAAGCACAACAGCCTGTGTGATCAGGAATGTCAATGGGAAGAAATATGACAAGTCAAAAAAACACATCCAAATTGATATGAAAGGGACTGGATGTAGTGGAGACCCAAAGTCCACCAGCAAGACAACTGGACAGTCCCTTAGTTGGGCCTCACAGCACTGAGGATAAGTCCAGGCTGCAGTGTGGCACTGATGAACTGCGTAACGATCCTCTAGTGCTTTAAGATTCCTTCCCCTGATTATGGTGGTCCATACGTGATATACCTTATTGGTCACGTTAGACTTACTTATGTTCATTTGTGCATTTAAGGTCACTTGATACATGGTAGTTAAGACAGGTGACCCCTCAGAGACATTGACAGGAGTATGGGTTCCCGGAGGTAGTGAAGTAAGAAGGGGTGGGGATAGGGATAGGGGAGGTGAGAAAGGAGAGGGCGGGGAGTTGATAGCACTAATTGGAATCAAACAACAGAACTATATGGGAAGGGAAGGGACATTATGGAATGAGTCAGATTTGCCAATAAAAATATTATTTAAGGGAAAAAAATGTTTCCCGGAATGTGATTATGTAGACAGAATAGCCTAGAACCGTGGTTCTCAACCTATGTCATGCCAAGATCCTTTAATATAGTTCCTCATGTGGTGGTGACCCCCCAACCATAAAATTATTTTCGTTGCCACTTCATCACTGTCATTTTGCTACTGTTATAAATCGGGCAACCCCTGTGAAAAGGTGGTTCAACACCCTAAGGGGTCGCGACCCGCAGGTTGAGAACCGCTGGTCTAGAAGAAGCGTGCCTGCAATGATGCCTAAGGGCCTCTGGAGATTGCATGACACCATGGGGCTGCTTTTTATATTTCAGGAGAAGAATCAATCCCTGGGAATTTGAAGTCTTCTTCGACCCCAGGGAACTCCGTAAAGAGACCTGCCTCCTCTACGAAGTCAAGTGGGGCGCGAGCCACAGGAGTTGGCGAAGCTCAGGCCAGAACACCACCAAGCACGCCGAAGTCAACTTTATAGAAAAATTTACCTCCGAGAGAAACCTTTGCCCCTCTGTCAGCTGCTCCATCACCTGGTTCATGTCTTGGAGTCCCTGCTGGGCATGCTGCAAGGCCATTGGAGAGTTTTTGAGGCAACACCCCAATGTCACTCTTGTTATTTATGTAGCACGACTTTTCCAACACACGGATCAGTGTAACCGGCAAGGCCTTAGGGACCTCGTCGTCACTTGTGGCGTCACGATCCAGATTATGAGTGTCCCAGGTACAAACAGCAGACAGAGATTCTGAAGCATTTGGGGAAGGTTGGTAGCGTTGGTTTCTAGGTCAGGAGATTGGTGATCTCACAGTCAAAGTCTCAGAATAAAATATTAATTCCAAAATAATGTGAGCAAGGATCTGGTCTGTAATTCACGACAAAGAAAGTGCCAAATACAAGATTCCTGTTTCTACTCTTGTCACTGTAGCCCCTCTGCCATCTTTAAGCAACTGACGGACTCTAACTGCTGGTCTTGTGGCTAGCGGCCGAGCACTGAGCCACTGCACCATCAAGCTCCTTTAAAATACATTTCTTGGCTTTTTTCCGGGAGTCTGCGGAAGCCTAGCTCATCTCCAGCAATGAATAGGCCCCCACCACCAACCCCACAGCCCCTCACCCCCAACTGTCATCGAGTTGATGCCTAGTTATTGCAATTCTCTAGGACAGCAGTTCTCAACCTGTGGGTCGTGACCCCTTTGGGGGGTCAAACAACCCTTTCACAGGAGTCGCCCAATCCATAACAGTAGCAAAACTGTAGTTATGAAGTAGCCATGAAAATAATTTTATGCTTGGGGGGGGGTCACCATAACATGAGGGTCGTGGCATTAGGAAGGTTGAGAACCACTGCTATAGGACATAATAGAACGGCCCTTTGAGGTTTCTGAGGCTGTGAGTCTGTATGGGACCAGGGAGCCTCTTCTTTCATGGCTGGTGGGTTAAACTGTTGACCTTGCAATTAGCAGCCCAACATGTGACCCACTCAGCCACCCCCCCAAACCCACTGCCATTGGGTCAATCCCATCATAACAACCCGTGTAGGGTTTTTAAGGCTATAAATCCTTGGAGGAGTGGATAGCCCTATCTGCTACAGAGAGGCTGCTGGATTTGAACAGCTGGCCTTGCAGTTAGTAATCCAGTGCTTCCGGGAGAGTGCCGCCAGGGCTTCTTGGTGAATAGGCCAGGAAACTGTAAATATGACTTCTTTTTTTCAGTTAGAGCTCTTTGAATAACTTCTTGTTGGATGGTACTTATTCGCTAAACCAAGATTTGTGTTTCTTAGAGTATGATTACTGCTGGCGAAATTTTGTTAACTACCCACCTGGAGAAGAAGCTCACTGGCCAAGATACCCACCTCTGTGGATGCAGCTGTATGCACTGGAACTCCACTGCATAATTCTAGTGAGTTCCTTTAAAGTAGCAGTTCTCAACCGGTGGGTCACGACCCGTTTGGGGGTCGAATGAACTTTTCACAGGGGTTGCCGAAGACCATCAGAAGGCACATAATTATTTCACAATATATAATTACATGTTGTTTTGTGATTAGTCACAATATATAATTACATGTTGTTTTGTGATTATTCACAATATATAATTACATGTTGTTTTGTGATTAGTCACTATGCTTTAATTATGTTTAATGATGTTCAATTTGTAACAATGAAAACACATCTTGCATATCAGATATGTACGTTATGATTCATAACAGTAGCAAAATTACAGTTATGAAGTAGCAATGAAAATAATTTTATGGTTGGGGGTCACCACAGATGAGGAACTGTATTAAAGGGTCACCGCATTGGGAAGGGTGAGGACCACTGCTTTAAAGGATAAAGATTCTATTGCAAAAGGAAGCATCCTTCTGCAGAATTTCTTCTCGAGCATTTTGATACATACTCTCTCGCTACCATCTCTTTGCTATTCGTAGTAAGGTTTGGTTTTTTATCTAGTTAGCCTATTTTCCGAAAATGTTGAAATGCAGCAACCTTTGATGGGAAGTCAGCAGGAGAAAGTAATGGATACATCTAAGACATAAGTGGATTTCCTATTCATTCAACATAATAATAATAATTACTATACTAAAACTTAGAGGCACTACAGTAGTTCAGACATTTTTCATTCTCATATGTAGTCCACTGGTGTCCTGTTGATACTCTAGAATGTTTGTGGCAATAGTCATATTCAAAAGTATTACCCTGACTTCTTTTTTATTCCAGAGTCTTCCACCCTGCTTAAAGATTTCAAGAAGATATCGGCATCAGCAGACATTTTTCCGCCTTCATCTTAAAAACTGCCATTATCAAATGATCCCACCCCACAGCCTTTTAGCTACTGCGTTGATACCACCTTCTGTGACTCAGTGATAAGAAGGATTTCTTGTGTAGGCTGTTCCGAGAACAACCCACTGAAGAGCGAGAGTCGCTAAGAATCTAGAAATTTTCCCAAACTGCCTTATTGTGGATATTTTAGTTGTCTTTTGAAGGAACAAATCACTCCAAAACTTCATGTCTTCAAAAACAATAAATATTTATTCTTTCCCACGGTTTTCGTGGATCACGTATTTAAGAGCAACACGGTCGTGTGTTCCTGGTTCAAGGCTCCCATGAGGTTGCTTGCAGTCAAGGCGTGGCTGAGACTGGAGATCTGCTTCCAGGGTTCACTCATCTGTCGGTCCATGCTGGTTGTTGGTAGCCAGTCTCTGTTTCTCCCCATATTTGGCTGCCCTCGGGTCCACGAGACCTGGAAGCTGGCTCCTCCAGAGCAAGGGATCTAGGAGAGACCAAGGAGGAAATCGCATCTTTTATGGCTTACCCTTCGCATCGCACACTGTCTCTTCCACAGTGTTCTACGGGCAAAACAGGCCAGCATGATTCAGTGTGGGACCACACAATCTCGGGAGCTGAGAATCACGGATGTGTTTTCCCTGTAAGGACTTTAGTTTCGTTTCCAGGATGATAATTACATGGGTCAGTTTCTAAGGAACAGCTAGAGGAAAACAAAGCTAAACATTGAATCTATTGTTTCTAAGACATAATCACATGATTTAATAGATGATTTATTAGTCAGAACTCATTAGATAATTTATTGTTGTAAAAAAACAAAACAAAATTCAGTAGCTTTATCACAAAAGATGTATTTCTTGCTCACCTTGCAGTCTAATGTAAACTGGGAGGAGGTGTCACTGTTTCATGCAATTACCCTGAGATTCAAATTCCTTCCAATTAGTGATGCCTCCAGAAGGAGCCTAGGTGATGTAGTGGTTACACATTGGGCTGCTAACCAGAAGGCGGGCAGTTCAAAACCACCAGCCACTCCACAAGAGTAAGAGGAGGCTTGTACTCGGTAAAGAGTTACAGTCTAGGAAACCAACATGGGGCCATTTATCCTGTCCTATAGAGTCCCTGTGCCTCCTCCAAAGGATTGCTGGTGGTGCAGTGGGCTAAGCATTGGACTGTGAATCACAAGTCCAGTGGTTCAAATTCACCAGCTGTTCCTTGGGAGAAAGATGGCTGCTTCTGTAAAGCTGTACAGACCCAGAAGGTCTAGGGAACTGTTCCACTCCATTGACTCGATGGCCATGAGTCACTCCACTTCCTTCTGTGGGCTTGGTCTCTCCTACCGTATTTTCTACATTCAGCCGTGATACATGGAAAAGAGAGGGAGAAAGTGCGAAATGCTGCGAGGAGTGTGTTTAGGGACAAGGGCTGGAAAAGTCAAACATCCCGCCTGCCTCTACTCCACTAGCAAAAACAGAGGCCCCTATGAGTCGGAATAAACTTAATAGCAGTGAGTGTGATTTTAGGTTTGGGGCTCCACTTGAGCCCTGGAGGTGTGATGGTTTTGTATTGGGCTGCGATCCTCCTGGTGGGAGTATGAAACCACCAGCAGCTCCGCGGGAGAAAGACTAGGCGTTCTCCTCCCATAAACAGTTACAGTCTCAGAAACCCAACGGGGATCGCTCTGAGTCAGCACTGACTGAGGGGCTGTGAGAGCTTGAGAGAGAGGCTGGGGGAGCCAGGGGGCGGCTGCAGGGAGCTAGGAGTTGGACCACAAACCGCAAGGTCAGCAATCGGGACCCACCAGACACTGGGAGAAAGATGAGGTTTTCTACTCCCGTAAAGAGTGGCCGTCTAGCAAAGGCACAGGGCCAGTTCTCTCTGTCTTGTAGGGTTGCCTCGAGCAGGAATCGACTCGAAGGCAGTGAATGCCTCCCAAGGAGACTGAGAAATAGCCCAGCTTTGTGCCTGGGGACAAGGGAAATGGAGTTTTGTGAGCGATCAAGCTATTGAAATTGAAGTTATGCAACGTATGCAAGGTTGCATAAGGAATATCACAACGGAAATGAGCATGAACATCTTTTGGGGTGGCTGTGATGGTTTGGTTTTTCTGAGTCTGTTAGGATATATAAATAGCCATGCAAGACTTTCATAATGGAATCAGATTGGCTCAGTCACTGGCCTGGCTTGCCCTCCCTGGGCAAGATAAGGTCATCTCTTTCTGGGACATAAATAAAGGCTGTGTTTGACGATGCCTCCAAAACTAGACGTGCAACCCGTTGCCACCAATCAGATTCCCACGCTTAGGGACCCTATAGGAGAGACTAAACTGACCACTAGGGTTTCAAAGGCTGTAAATCTTTACAGTGGCAGACAGCTTCATCGTTCCCCCCTTGGAATGGCTAGTGGATTCCAACCATTGACCTTTCATTTATCGACGGAGCACTTTAACCACTGCACAAACAAAAGATTTACACATTTATCATTCATGTGTTATAGAAATCTGGAATCTGGAACACCATTTGAATGAGTGGAATAAAGTCTGCTTCTTTCATAGACAAATATCCCCGCTTTAATCAAACTTGGCAAAGGGACTCAACTAGAGACATTTTTAGGTAGCTGCAACACCGAGAGAACAAAAGTCCCACTGGATGTGGGGGGTGTCCTCAGTTGCCTGAGGGACACTGGGATTACAATGCCATGCAGTGAAAGACACGATCCCTTCCCCTCCCTGACAACTCCATCCTCCCGCTCTGATTCTTTAATCACCACAGCACCATGCCACCTTATTAGCTTAGATTGAATTTCATTACAGATTACAGACTGAATATCTACACGCACTGTACAAGCTCACTGGATGAAAACCAGTTCACACCAAAGCACATTATACATGAAATTCAAACACGAAATTGAAAGTGACAACAACAAAAAACTTCCGGGATGAAGCAAAATTAAAGAAAAGATGGCTGTCGAACTTCTCAAAATCAATAGTAGAGACTAGAAGGCATTTGACCAGAACCTTTAAAATTCTGGGGAAAAGCATTTCCAGGCTTGACTTCTGTACTTGAAGAATGAGGAATAAAGACAACTTAAACATGCAAGCTATTTTAAAATGTTTTTTTTTAAGATATTTAAAAATGCAGGTGTTTCCCATACATCCTTTCTCACAAGGCTACTAGAGGGTCTGCCATATCAAATAAGGGATGGAGTCAAAAAAGATTAGTTATGGTTGCACAATTCAGGGAACATAAATAATGCCACTGACTGGATTTTATATGCAAAAATATTTGAAATATCAAATGTTTTGTTATATGTATTTTACCACAGTGACATTAAGAAAAAACATATTAACTGCAATGTTTTGGCGTTCCATGTTATCTCTCAAACCAAACCCAATTATCATCAAGTGAAGTCCAGCTCACAGCAGTGACCCTATATAGTACAGGCTACGACTGCTCCTGTGAGTTTCCAAGGCTGGGACTATTTTTTAAAAATCACTTTATTGGGGGATCTTACAGCCCTTATAACAATCCATACATCAATTGTATCAAGCACATTTGTACATATGTGTCCATCATAACTTTCAAAACATTTTCTTTCTACTGGAGCCCTTGGTATATAATCTTTTTCCCTTTCTCCCCTTGATACATTATTATTATTTTCATATCTTACACCATTTACTGTCTCCCTTCACCCGTTTCTGTTGTTCATCCCCCTGAGAAACGCGTCATTCATCTATCATTTTGATCAGTTTCCCTTTTCTCCCCCTCCTCCCCCCACCTTCCTCCGACCCACATGGTATCCCTACTCCCATTACTGTTCCTGAGGGGTTTATCTGTCCTGGATTCTGTGTGTCAAGAGCTCTTATCTGTACCAGTGTACATCTCTGGTCTAGCCAGATTTGTAAGATAGAACTGGGGTCATTATAGTGGTGGGGAGCAAGCCTTAAAGAACTAGAGGAATGTTGTGTATTTTGTCAGTGCTGTACCACACCCTAGCTGGTTTGTCTCTTCCTTGTGACCCTTCTCTGAGGGGATGTTCAATTTTCTGCAGACGGGCTTTAGGTCTCCATTCTGACACCCCTCGTTCGCATCCATATGATTGTTCTGAGTCTTCTGATGCCTGATACCTGATCCCATTGACACCTCGTGATCACATGGGCTGGTGAGCTTCTTTCATGTGGGCTTTTTTTGCTTCCCTACTAGATGACCACTTGTTTAACTTCAAGCCTTTAAGGCCCCAGACGCTAAATCTAACAGCCGGGCACCATCAGTTTTCTTCACTACATTTGCTTATGAACCCATTTTGACTTCAGTGATCTGTCAAGAAGGTGAGCATCACAGAAAGCCAGGCTATTAGAACAAAGTGTTCTTGCATTGAAGGAGGACTTGAGGAGAGGCCCAATGTCCATCTGCTACCTTGATACTTAACATATAAATATATGTACATAGACCTATATTCCTATCATTATATATTAATATATTTACATATATACATGCCTATATTTACACCTCCATAAAATATCTTTTGCCTCTTAGTTCTTTCCTCTATTTACTTTTACTTTCTACCTGTCCCACTATGATGTTTGACCTTCATTCATTGTTTCCTCTCAGCTACATTGCACTTGCTCAAACCCCACCAGGTGTTCTACATTCCCCTCACCATCAATTTTAGACCTCTTGTTGTTCCCTTGTCCCTGGGTTTGCTGGCTCCCCGCTCTCTTTCCCCCACCTCTCCCTCTCCCCTGTCCCTCCCAGAACCGTTGGCCCTTGTTTTCTCCTTGGGATTGTTTCTCTTGCCTATCATATAGACATGAAAAAGGAGAAGAAGAAGAATGGGCCTATATATAGTTCTAGCTCTGTCTGCTGACCCTTATGTATGTTTTCCGATCAAGTCTGATGAGGTGCCAAGCCCTGCACTGTGAATCTGAGGTCTATCTTCAGGATTCCTCGGGGACTTCGTTGCTTTGCTCCCCTTGCTGCTCTGTTGTGCTCCCCTCGCTCCCCCCCCTCCCCCCGTGGGGCAGGAATTAGACCAGGCACAATTCCTGCACTGTCCCAAGACTGTAACTCTTTATGGGAGTAGAA